TTCTGAGTGTTGAGGGTAATGTATTATGAAACACCTTTTTTTTTTCTAGGTATGAATGCACATTAACTTTTATTATTTCTATTTTAATTAATATCAGAGAGCATAGTTGGTACAGGTTTTCATGCAAGAAGTAACCTCAAAACCTTTTTAATAAACTGATCAGGCACAGTAAATAGAAAATAAAAGACAAAACTGAAGAAAAAGGGAATTAAGACAGACAAAGAAGAGAGACTAAGTTTTCATGTTTTCTTAAGCAGAGTAGATATTCTGAATACATAAGTGATTTGTAAGAGATTGAAGAACTCTAACAATTTTATGAGCTGAAAAGTTATTTTTCATTTTTTACGTAGCTGGCTAAAATATAGGTGTAGAACTTCAGATATTTATTAGTATTTCAATTATTACTTGGGAACGTGAGTTGTAGGAGTTTGGGATATATCAGTATTGAAAACAAAAATCTTTGCTCCTATAGAGCTTATATCTATCATTTACTAAAAAAAATCATGCAAGCCTTCTTATCCCAACAATTTAATGAAAAAAATGAGTATGTGCCTCAATATGTTTGCTTGTTTGTTTCACACATGTAATATTTTCATTGTTTTATATCACAAGGCATCATATTCATTTAGGGTGTGGTTTTATTGTTCTTATAGTATATATATCAGATTTTTTTCATTTTCAAACTCTTTTCGTTGACTTCACGTTAGATCTGAATAAGTCAGTATGTGTTTTTGTTACTTGTTTCTGTAATTTTTTTATCACGTGATCCATGTAGGAGAAAATAAGTCATTTCTGCTACTTTCTTGGTCTTTGTTTTTGCTTGATTGTTAGTATTTCCTTCTATCCCTATTACCTCTGTGGGGAATTTTTTCCCCCTAAACTATCCTCACTTCAGTTAAATTAGATAATAGAACGTACGTCTACCTAACTAGGAACAAATAAACTTCAACGCATTGCAAAGAACTCATGTGGGACAAATGACTGAGAGCCAGGGTCACTGTGCCAGTCCCTCAGAATTAGAGGAGGCCCCCACCTGTCTCGTGTACTTTAAAGATCTGATGTGACACGCGACGTAACCAACTGAATTCAATTTGTGTGTTAAATAATTAACAAAGCTTAACTTCTTTCTCATTTGGGGGGATAATAAATAAACAGGAAGTGCTAATATTGGGTCTCGATCCACTGCAACGCAGTCCTTGTGCTCTTCTTGGATGCCACTGTTCAGAGCCCTGTGCCGCTATTGCAGCTGCTGGGGCCAGGGCCGGGTCCTGCCCACTCTGGCAGTCGTGTGAAATCTTCTCGGTCCCATGTGGCAACTTTTTTCTCACAGCGTCATGAAATAGCACATATAAGTGGGTTGTCCAGCACGTATTAGAGTGAAGTTGAGATTTACTGTAGAGTGAGAAAATAGAGCTTCAAATCTTCATGTGCGCAGGAGATCTGGGAACTTAGTTATAACTTTGCCAGATGGCACATAACTGATATTTCTTTTTCTTTCTTTCTTTTTCTTTGCTATGATTATTTGGTTGTATACTTTTGGCCTTGGAGTAAAGGTTTTGTTTTGCTATACTTTAATTATTTGGAAGAGCGACCTTAAGCTATAAATCAATGGCTGGCTTTATAAGTAATAAAGGAGCATAGCAAAGATTTTGTGGGCATGTGACTTTGCACAAAAATAAACTAATATATGCAATCCTTGAAAAGTTAGGGTGACCATTAGTATACAGCAGTAATACACATTTCAAATTATTTGCATATAGCTGTGCAATATTGTTTGCAAGTATCAAATGTTATTTTTACTCATTCATTGTCAAGGGCATTAATAAATTTATTAAAATCTCTGCATTTTCATTATGAAATTAGCATTACAAAATTTTGCAAATAATAAAATGTTGAAAAGTAAATATTCCAATTACCATCAAAATACAGTTATACAGTATTTAACATTTTGGTGTATTTTCTCTTGTGATTTTTTTCCCTGTGGGTAGTATTTTTTACCTAGCCATGCTCATTTTGTATGCACTCATGTTATTACACAAGTTTTATAATGCTTAGGATTTATTTTTAAGTTAGAGGTCTGGAAAGTACAATTACGTGTCCTGGGTTATGGGCACTTTTAAGGCTTTATTGTAATCGCCATCTTGGCTTTTCATGTTGTTGTTCCATTTTCCACTCTTACCAATAATATATAAAATTACTGGATATTTTACTACCCCCTTCTCAGTATTCATTAAACAAATATTTAATAATGCACAGCTCCCTGCTTAGCTAGAGCCTGGCAATGTAACGGTGAACAATATCCCACATTTGAACTTTCTTCACGAAACTCACAGTCCAGTTGAAGAAGCAGACATTAACCATATAATTGCACAAATGAATGTGGAATTACAGCCATGAATTAAAAAGCAAAATATTAACATCTGTTTAGCCTTTTAAATGGAACTTACTGACTTTGCTGTGTTGGTATGGGTTTCATGGGTAGGGATTTATTGTGAAGGTGGAAAATGGCAAAGCGGGTGGATCACAGAAGAGGTTTTCAGAAACTTTCATTCTTTCTCATCTTTGTGTTATTGCTTTATATCACAGATTCTGTCCTGAGTGCGCAGGATTTGGGTTTAGACACAGCTGTGGTTAATGCTGAAATACGAGTTTTTGTAAAACCAATCTTTTAAAACAGGTTGGTTTGCATTTTTTAAAAAGTTTTTAAAGTGTTTTAGCTCAATTGTTCAATTTATAGAGGCTGCATAGTGTAGCAGTGGAGTGGGAAGGATCCAGAGCTGAGTACTCATATTCAAACTCCAGCTTTGTACTTAGTAGTTATATGTTCTTCATCAAATTACTTAATTGTTCTGTGTCTTGATTTTCTCATCTTCAAACTGGGCTTCCTTTTAAGTAAGGTCATGGTGAGGATCCAATGAGTTAATCATGAAATGTGCTTAGAACAGTGGTTGGCACCAAAGATAAACACAATCTGTATTTTTATGATTTCTAAAAAATACAAATACAAAATATTGTGAAACTAGATAAATCAACATCCATTTGGTTTTATTTCCTTTAAATTAAAGGAGAGCTCAAAAACATAATTTCATGTGTTCTTTGTGCTCTCTTATCAGAAGTGAGGCACAGTCCAAAAGAGCCCTCTTTGTGGGAGGGAGCTCGGGACTAGGTGTGGTGTCTTCTTACTGCCTAGCTTGATTGAGTTAATTCAACTCCCGAAGATGTAGTAGCTAAAAGATAGGATTATTTAAAAATAAGTCATGTTAGAACAAAAAGGTTTTACAGAAAATTGTCAATCTTTAAAATTATCTGTTTTCATGACAATCAAGAAAATTCTCCATCAGTTACAAAAAAATCCTTTTGTTCTCTTCTTTTCAATGCTACTTATTTTTCATGAAGAGCATACATAAAATACAGCAAAACTAAGAAAAGAAGTCTTCAGTACTTAGAGGGTTAATAGCCCAGTCAAGTTATACTGGGTGATGGGCTGGCTAAGGCACAATGGTAATTTTTCCCCCTAATTCACATCTTAGAATTATGTGATTTGGGAAGTTATATAATACAGAATATGTGACATGTCTAACACAATCCCAGCAATCACTTATGTATTTTTTTCAAGATTCTAGTCTTTTAAAAGCATCAAAATTCTAATGTGTTTAGTTAAACTGGTATTGTGATGCTGTGCTATTTGTGTATTATTTTCCAGAAGATTTTTTCCAATATCATAACATCTATGAAGCAAATCTATGTACAATGGAGTCATTTTAAATTATTAGTTATACAATCTGTGCATAGAAACACATACTGGCATTCTTTTTAATTTCTGGAGGACTAATCAAAAGCCCAAGGATAATCTGTTTTTGAACAGCTTTCTTTTTTTGCAAGTGTATTTTTTGTATTCACCTGTTTGCAAGTCCACAGTTTTTCTATTGATTCCAAGGTGCTGGGTTTCATCATTCAGTAACATCCTACTGTTTTGACAGCAGGATAGCATTTGCATGTCCCATTTAGCTATTGTGGAGAGACATCAGTTGCCATGGTGAGGATTATGATGTCCCCCATCCAATCTTGCTCTGAGATAGGGATGGCCTTTGAGAAACCACTTGCAAATATTTATTTTCAGAGCTACAACTGGCTTTTTGTGAAGCAATGGGTTACTAGAGTGGTTGCATTTTCAATGAATCATCAGATGAGAAGCCTATTACCACACGGTTTTCCTTTGAGTTTTAATGAACTTCCACTGCCCTCTACCTCAATGCCTGTTGACCAAGAATCTGATTCTATATTGTGTAATTTGGCATCATTGTTAGTTATATAAATTGAGTTTTATTTGTTTAGTTTATCCAATTTGTCCAGATTATTGCCTCAGAGCTGACCTCACTGGGTAGGTTTATTATGCTTCACCTGAGTTCAGAAGTAGAGTTTTCCATTTTCCTGCAGATCACGTCTAAGCATCACAGATGCTTCTTTTGTGCACGTTAAGATGACTCTTTAGACATCAAGGGGACATTCTTCAAATCAGGGCTTTTTCTAAGAATGTTTGTCAAATGTTAGTATGAATTTTTTAAAAAAAATACAGGCTTTTTTCACATTTTGGGTTACTTGTTAACTAAAAGGAAAACTCCATTAAAAAGCCTTTGATAAAATTTCTTAGTCATAAGTTTGCAAAATTCTTGTACTGCCATCCTGAATGATAATCTGAGCTTTCACTAATTAGTTTATTGTTTAAACTAATGTACTAATAGCTTAATAGTTTTAACTAATAATTTAAATACACGCACATTACTTTCGTAAAATGGCCTGCTTCTGCAGCTTACTACAGCATTTTCTTTACCTTCTCTGATTACTATACTCCAGGTTTGATAAAACACAAAGGAATCTGGAGGAAATAACATGAAATGTGCTACTTCTGTAAAATGTCCTCTTACTTTTGAAAAAGAAAGAGAAAAGAAACTTTATTATGATGCATTGTGAGGCTTATGATAACTATGTTTGTCTTTCAGATCCCCAGCTCAAGGGTATAGTGACCAGGTTATACTGCAGGCAAGGCTACTACTTGCAAATGCACCCTGATGGAGCTCTCGATGGAACGAAGGATGACAGCACTAATTCTAGTAAGTGACAACCTCTGGCTACCAGTTAACACAGTTGGTAGAAGATGCACTGCTACTTAAATGACTTCTTAAGATACATTTGCAAATATTTGGTTATGTCCGTTCATTTTTACAATGTTACACACTAGAATGCCATTTACAATTTTACTTAAACCAGTGGATGAAAATCCTAATGGAGTAACAAGAAACCTGTGAATCTAAGATAATTATGTTAATATTTTTATTTTTTTCAAATAATTGTCATACTCTGAAAACTACTATTATTTTTAATCTTATTACCATTAAAGTCAAATAAGCACAGTAGTGTATTAAGATAAAAACTGACTACAGGCTTCTTCTGGATGTATTATTTTATCAGGCCCATAGCTTCTTGATGCTACCTGTGGAAATTCAAGGTCTACAAAAATTACTTGATCAAGTAATAGAAATATAATTTTTCAAATTCTTTGCATTTAACAAGAAAAGATATCTTTCTTATAGAAAGGACATGAAGGCTGTGTACCTCTAAATACATTGTACAAAATGTTTAACTACTTTATAGAATTGGGTCTGTGGTCTTTTTTTTCAAATTAAAAAACCACACACTTTCCATTGTATTAATGTCTTTTTTTTAACTATTTCTATACATATAAATTTTATTTATATTCTCTGTCTGGTGTTCCTCCCTACTCAACTGTCTGTGTTTTCCTTTCCCATTTTCTGGCATCTGATTCCTTTAAACTTAGCATATTAGTTCTAAAATAGACACACTTTTTATTGCTTAGGAGAGTTAGTGAAAAGCAAAAACTGCTTTTATTGGAAATATTTAATCACAGGAGATATTACTAGTGAATCTGCAATAGATATGAACCTTTTTCTTCATTTATCTTTTATTCTTCACATATAGCAGAACATCACTGCATGAAAAGATGAGAGGATTTAAATGTACATAATCAAATTATAGACATTTTCTGTTTTTAATTCTAGTAACGAAATTATCAGTAACACTGATTCTGAGAGTAGCTGATGATATAAAGCAGGCTATGTCTACATTTGGTGTTGCTATGTGAAATATCAGTATTTTTTCAACCATTGTGTTTACTTTTTAGATTTGGGGCATTGCTTCACTTTTTAGTTTTTCTTCAACTTCTCTTTAGTTTTTCCTTATTTATCTACATGTTCCTCCTTTTCAATTTCTAATATTTTTCTCTCTCTGTATCTGTTATATCTTTTTTTTATTTTTGCAATTTTCCCATCACATTTGTTGATTTGTTTGTTTTTGCTTCATTTTCTCTTCTGATTTAGTAAAAGAGGAGGTAAAACAATGCAGGTACAGGGAAGAAAGACCTATACCAAACATTGTTTACATGTTAGGATTTTGTTTTGTGGTTGGACCTTTTTAAATTAACAAAAAATAGAAAGTAGTTGACCATCTTTGACCCACAAAAGATGTTAATTTCTTACGATTCTAGCTAATATATCTCTATATTTATATATCTGCTCATTTACTTTTTCCATCTTATATCTCACATTTCTCTCTTATATCTTACGGTTGTTAGGGTCATGTATTTTAGAGATTCATATGCTCTGATGTCTTCAATGTACTTTGGTTTTCTTTAGCCAGAGTCTAATAGAGCATGGGAACTAGTTTTCCGTAATTCTGATCACTATACTAGCTATGATACTGATTTATCAGACTACAGACCAATGTCACCCACGTTATGACCAAAGTGTTCAAGAAGGAAATAAACTATAGCTATATGAAAATGCTGCTGTATTGGACTGCTTGGAAAAATCGTTTCTTCAAATGAAAGTTTTATGAAATTTTTCCCTAGCTTTTTGGTTTTTTTGTTTGTTTGTTTTTTGTAATGCCAGACAAATTGGTTACCTTTAGTGATGGGAATCAATATTCCTTTGAGAAATGTCATGTAGACAATGTTTTTTTATAATCATACTGCTTCAGAATTGATTAAGCATCATAATATTTCCTAAATCACAAAAGTGCAGCTATAGACATTGTATGCATACATACTTACACGCAATTAGGTCTGGTGATCCGAATAGTATTAAACACTAAACTGGAAAGCTGAGATACTAAAGGATACTTGGCTTTCTGTTCTCCAAATATATGGGGTTTTTTTTTTCCTTCTGTTGTATACCTTCACCACAAGAAGCAAGAAACTCTGGGTGACTCTTGAAATCCCCGCCCTCGACGGCTCTAAATGCTGGTGAGAAACAGTCTGAGAAGGAAGCGGGAACAGGAGCTCCTGCATAAAAACAAATCAGAACCAGATCATAGTGCCCACGCTTGATACTTAAATTCCTATGCAAAGATCTGGCCCACAGCCTCTTTTCTTATACATAGTATTTCATTTTATGTGTGCTGTAAGCCAGTTAGGTTAGTTTTGTCACCATTTCAACATTTACAGAAACATAAAGAATAAAAGAGGTTGAGATAAAGGTTCTCTCCTCAAAAAGCTACACACATTGTATGAATATAAAGTCTAATAAAAATTGCATGGATTATGGTAGATTTATAAAAGCAATAGGAATCACCAATTAACTCCACTTTTGTGTACTATAACCTTTTCAAATTGCAAAACACTTTTTAAGGATTAATTTGAATATATTTTCTCCTCTCTGGTTCATTACTGTACCCTTATGAATCTTAGGGAAAATGTAAGCACTGAGAAGAATTATTCAAAAATGAAGGTATACTTTAGAAATGCTGACAAGTCCTAGAGTACAGTCCTTTTTGATTTTGGAGGGGGGTGATGTAATGTAATAATTCACGAATATGTTTCTATTTTTTGTTAATTTCTTGAACAAAATCCAATGATTAGTCATTCATAACTTTAAAAAAATAATGAGAAATAACCTAACTCTCCCCCAGCTATCACCCTAAAGGCCAGCAAATGACAACTCAAGACTTGAACCTTTAGATTTTTATGATTTTAGTTCAGCACATTTCTCGCTACTAAACATGAGATTATTTAGAAGAGCAAAAGTCAGAACCATCATGCTAATCTGCCTTAGTCAGAAATTTTAGATGAATTGAGAAGAGAAAAAAGCCCCACTGGCAGGCAAACCTTGAAGACCCTGATTTGCCAGGGTTTCCAGCCCAAGAACTAGATATCACTAGGAAGGAAAAATGGCAAGAAATTCATTCCTGATGGGTACACGGTCCTAGCAGAGAAATTTCTGTAGCAACCTGACTACTTACCATTGGCTACTTTGTGCCCTGAAAAGATTTTTCACAAAAGGAAGTGAGCCCCTGCAGAGCTTCATCTCCACACTCATTTTAAAATTCTACTAAATGTTGCATTACCATGAACTACAGTATTTTTTTAGGAATTGGTTTTTCTTTCCCCTCAATTTGCTTTTGGGGATGACATAGATTTTTTTTCTGTGCTTTTAAACTTCATCATTTCCATTATCAGACTTAATAGATATTACAAGCAAAAATAGAACTAAATAGATATCAATATGCTAATAATTATAGCAATGTTAAAACTCAAAAAAAAATCCTCTCACCTTAGAAATTCTCAACCTGTTAACTTGATGTGTAAAAATTGTCAGTTACACAGTGGCTACCACCCCACAGGCTTTGCAATGGTGGTTCTCACCTTGACTGTATGTTAGAGTCATTTGAGGACCTTTAAAAACATTCCTTATGCCCTAAACCCACTTCCAGAGATTCTAATTGGATTGTCCTGAAGTCGAGCATGGCCATTCTAATTCGTAAATACAACTAGTTTTAATGTGCAGACAGAGTTGAAAATTACTGTTATTGGGGAAGTAGTTTATTCCACAGAATAAGCAAAGTCTCACGAAAATCTCCGTTATTCTAAGTCCCCTAGGCCTTTTGACATTGCTTTATAATTACGTAAAATACAAAGAAAATGGAAAACTGTAATGATATCTCAAGTAATGTGAGTATCTGTGGTTTTAACTAGAACCACAGATCCATCATGGTCTGGTCTGAATGGTTTTCCACATTACAATGGTTATATGAATTTACGCTCTATTTATCATTCTGTAAATTATAATAACTTACATTTTATAATTCAGGTCCCAACCAAAATCCTGGGGAAAAGACTAGCAGGTTTTTTAGTATGGTAATTCTAGACTATCTTCTAGAATTTTTCTATTTCCCATACCACATTATTTTGGTGAGTTGATGATCCATTTCCCTTCTAAAATTATATTATCTGGCCTATATAAAATATTTGGCACCTACAGATATGCTTAGAAGCGTATAAAGGATAGAATAGTTAGGCTTGAATTGGTTAGGTTGGAATAATTTGCATGGATGGGCATATTATTATTTTTTCCCTCCAGAAGTTTGCACATAAATCAGGAATAATCGTCCTGTGGGGCCCATCCTTTTAAAATAAAAGGGAGATGGAACAGTTCAGGTATTCTAGACAAGGGTGAATATGACCTTCTCTCACAAAGAGGGAATATTAAGAGTTTCTATGACACAGGTACTTCAAATTCACACCCATGTTTAATAATAGAAATGAACAATTATACATCTCATTCTTCCAATAGGATATTAGAATCCCCAGAATCCTGCAGAAGAAAGTCCAATGTTAGTTTGCATAGTGAAAGCTAACATCCAACTAACCACACTCATATCCCTAAGTATTCTTGTAGTGGTAATTATTCATGGCCATGGGCTGCTATTTTTCTTTCATTATTTGTGTAGTACAGACATCTTGAGAACAGTAACATGTAATAATTGGAAGAGAGGGTGTAGCTTTCTATACCCTATTATGAGAAAACTTGTCCCTGAGAATTAAATAGAACACAATTTATAAAGTCCATTTTTAATTACATACTGAGTAGACTGCCTGTATTTTTCAAATGACTTGTCTTTTATGGAATACAGTTGAGAGCTTGAAGTTATTTTACTGATACATTTACTTCAACACCAACATTTTAGTGTTTTCAACGTCTGTTTTGGCCTGCATCTATTGCTTAGAATTAGACTTGAATTAAGATGGCATTGAGTGGGAGCAGATGACCTCACTGTGGATAATTAACCCTTCTCGTGTAAATGTACCCGCAATAAAATCTTCAAAATCGTCAAGCAGTTATCACCAAGAATGATGCTAGAAGACCCACTAAACAGTCAACGTGTAATATTGGTAGCAAAATGTGTTAAGTGAATATTAAGCTTTTTATAAATCAGTTATAACATTTTATCTGCAGTATGTGATAAATACATTAAGGTACGTTTTCTTTATCAACAAGGGAAGAAACAAAACATGGAAACATTAATGAGTTTTTGTCTCAGATGGGTAAAATTGTCCCCTTTTATTTTCATTTTTCATTCATACTTTTATGAAGTATTAATAAGGAAAATTATCTCTCTAAAACTTGCATGCCATTCAGTCTGATTAGTTCTTTCTAAATTTAGCCTGTTGGCAGGTGTATATCTTTTCTTGGCTTTACTCGTATATCATGTTAATTCTGCAAGACTAATTTAGCTCCAGAATTGCCTTTTTAACTTATGGCCTGCACTACATTGCAGTGACAAATCACACCTTCTGCATGAAGGATCAGAATAAACATTCAACTTGGACTTTTTGAGTTCTTTGCTTTGAGAATCTTCGCAGTTGATTTCTTTTGGTATCTAATTGTGTCAGAGACTGTGATACTAGAATCTTGATTGCAAGCTTGATTTTGTTTATTATCCCACTAGTTCTTCAGAATGCTACAGGCAAGACTGCTAAGAAGATTTACAAATTGGGGCTGAAGTGCTAATTATACCCACAGCAGAAAACTTCTTAATTATAAAGAGAAATAAAAGTTATTTAATTGGAACTTCTCAGAAAGCAGCAACAAAGATAATGTTTCTCCAATAAAAGAAATGAGAGAGAAAAAAGTTATGGCGATGCTTTGCTTTTTCCTGCCCATTGGTGACAGATCATGTTGTCTCTACAGCACTGTTCAACCTCATACCCGTGGGACTGCGCGTCGTTGCCATCCAGGGCGTGAAGACGGGGTTGTATATAGCCATGAATGGAGAAGGTTACCTCTACCCATCAGTAAGTAGCATGCCAGAGATATTGGCGATTCATTCAATGTTTGTAAAATAACAACAGCAGCAGCAACAAAAACCAGACGGTTCTGTGTCTACTGATTCTGTGTGTACTGATTCTGCCATCTTTGGTCCAGTATGTGATCTTTACTAGAGTGCTGTCGGAGCTGTTTATTTGTTATTCACTGATATTTGAAAATATGATTATATATAGAAGAGTAATATAAGTCTATATTGGCCGTATTTTAAAAAATGGCCCAGCTCACACACACAAAAAAAGTCAGTTTTGAAAGAACTATTAATATAATCCTTATTTCTATTTAGAAATGCAGTTGTCTTAGGAAATTTCTTGTAAAAGATTATTTTTTTAAAAAAAGGAGCTATCTTAATATTTTTAAAAGAGAGAAAAGAAAATGGAGAGCATTTATTTTAAAAGCAAGAATTCAAATTGGGTACATATTTTACCAGAAACATAATTATTTCAAATATTGGAATGTATATTTCATACAGATCTAAGCAAGTCTCTGTGTTTTGTGTCAGTTTATTAGAAGTTGAGGACTTTTCCAGCCATATGGCCTCTTCTGAAATATTTCCTATGTACAAATAATTTGCATTCAGATGTGCTGTATCCATACATTATAAAGCACTTAGAATTCATTTCTGCCACAAGTTCAAGCAATAAAGACTTAGGTGAAGGTGCTTATCTCCTCTATCCTTTGAGCAAAAATTTATAAAATCTTAAGTGCCTTAAAATAAGCTGTGTTTTGAGTTTGCATGAAATCTTCATATAAATTCTTTAAAACTTTGTTGTTAAATATCACCACCAACACATATAGATATATAACACATAAGATATATATATATATCTTAAGCAGAAACATTCTCTGTGGGCCTCCCATGAAGTATGATCTATTTTCTTCAGTAGATCTGGGAAATCTTGTCGAGGGGAAATGGAATTTGAGCTGCGGATACCCTTTCTGGTGAGATCAAAATGCAGGCTCCTGTTATTAGTGAGTCTTCATCTGAGTTCCCTGAAGGGTGTTTGTGCACAAAGAACTGGGACCTACATTACGCAAATTTCGTTCTCTTGCACAAGATGAATATGCAACACATTGGAAGCAAGATCAAGCTGGAATTGCCTTTTCTCCCTTTAGGAAAAATCCAATACAGATGAAGATCATTTTCTAGAGATGCCTTATTTCAGATACAAGTCACTTTTATTGATTTGCTATTTGTTCTGTTATTTTTTGTTTATTTTCCTCCCAAGTAATCTTTGAGAGTAATCATTAAATTCATAGCCTCTAGTTCTCTTTCTGCTGACAATTTTATCACATTGTTGTACTCTGGTCTATATGTTGATGGCAGGGGAGATGTAAATTTTTGTTTTATCTTCTCCTACCAGGGAGATTCTTTTTATGTGGCTGTCATGAGGTTGTAGATGTATGACATTCTTTTTTAGACATAGGGTATATCAACTTAAGTATGTGTCTTAGCCTAAAATAAAAGTATTGGTTATGTTCAGAGCAGACCCAGCAGCAGGAATAAAAACAAGAAATGTAGTAACTGCCCAGTCCAGTCCCCAGCATTTAAATTTTTTTGTTTAAATTGGCCAATACAATTATATGTATTTATCATGTACAGCATGGTCATTTGAAGTATATATACATGGTGGAATATTTTAATCTAGCTAATTAACAAATACACACAGTTATCATTTTTGTGTTAAGGGCATTTAACATCCCCTCTCTTTGCGTTTGTCAAGTATACAATTCATTGTTGTTAATTGCAGTCACCATGCTGTACAATCGAGCTCCTGAACTTATGCCTCCTATCTAACTGTAATTATGTATCCTGTGACCAAAATCTCCCCTTCCCCACTCCCCCTAACCAGTGCCTACAGTCTTAAATGGGGCTTCCCTGTGCAAAAATCAGATGTCATGAAGCCAGCTGTGAGCAGCAGTGTTTGTCCAGGGCGTGTCCCAGGAACAACTTCAGGCTTATTACTTGATGCGTTGTCCTCTGTTCTCACCCCTAATTCTCCAGTGACATGGCTCTGGGCCTCCCCTTTGGTGGCTTCATTCCCTGATGTAAAAATCTTGGTTTTCTCCTCTCCCCATTTTTGTCTCTTTGCTCTGAACCCAGGGCCTGGCAAGAGATGCTGCATTCACCTTGCCCCTACCTGAAGAGATCTCCTGTGCCGAGGCCAGCACCTTACAATTCTTAGCCATCTTGCAGGAAAAGGACTTAGACAAAAACCAAGAGTGATTTCAAGATTTACCACATTGTTTATTTCAATGGGATAAAATGTAAACTTTAAATATTTCAGTACAGGAAATATTTTTCCAAATCATCCATTCCATAATTATATAGAGAGAGCCTACTAAAATAATATTATAGAACATAATACAACAATTATTGTACTATATGATAATAATAGCTATACTTGTGTGATAACACTAGTACTATTTGTATAGTCCACTTTGACTAGCACTGTTTCAAGCACTTTACATGGATTAGGCCATTTAATCCTTCTGATAACCTTTTTTAAGCAAATCCTATGCAAACAAGGACACTGAAATACAGAGAGTTTAAGAATTTGCTCAAAGTCACCCAGGTAGTACATAGAAAAGACAGGATTTAAGCATGGTAAGTCTGACTCATTAGCTTATATTTTTCACTGTTTTACTATACAGCTTCTATGTGCCAGACATTTTTCGTAATATGGTCTGTCACTTATTCTAACAAGAAATTATAAACACATAATGAGGTAATGAAAACCTTTAGGGAAATGTTACCTAGGGAATAAGCTTCATTTCGGGGCAATTATTAAGAAGTATAATTTGAAACAAAATCTGTTTCTTTATGAGACTTTTGAAGGAAAAAATGAAAATCATAGAAAATTATATTTGTCAGGGAAAAGCTTGAAATTATATAATGGGTGTTTAATATTTTTTAAAATTTATTACATTTAACACTTGAACTTTAAATTTTAAGAGCCTTAACAAACATTGTTCGTCCAACTAAGAAGTTTTCACTAAATTGAACATATTTTTTAAGATGGCAAGTCCAGTCAAGCTCAGATTTAAAGAAAAAGTTGATAAAGATTTAAGTCTGTGCAATGAAGTAATCTGTTTTAAGCTTATGCCTACTTAAAAAAATATCAGCTTAATATTTGTGCAGTGTAAACTAGTGTCTAATATGGAATCAATTATACTGAGGATCTATAGATGTTGAATAGATGTAGGTGATAAAAGATTCAAGTCATTCAAAGTGAGTTCTGTTAAATGAATATTATACTAGTGATTTGGTTTTAGGTGTACATTCCTCTATTTGTATTCCAGGAAGTAGCTCTCATAATCCCTTGCTACCCAAATAAAGATATTCAATATGTCAGATAATTCCACCGTAGAGGGACAGAAAAAGGTATCTTGATTGAGATGTCAGTAATCACATTTCCATTGTCGAAGGTGCTTGTTCTCTGCAGAATCTTTTCTTCAGTATGGCAATAGTTATTTCTTTTGTGGTCATAATAATCACAATATTTTACTGATGATGCATCTGGAGAGATTTAATATCAGCTATAAGCCATTTGCTTGAAGGTGGAATGTAGGCTGCGAGGTTGCAGAACAGAAACTGACAAATAAATATTTTTGTTTAAGAATTAGATGGTTTAAAATGTTGTTTAAAGAAATAAATATTGTATTTGGACAACTGTGGACTATTTATAGTGCAGAGAAGAACAGTCGAGTTTTTTGTTGCTTGTTTGTTTTTCTGAACAACCTGTGCCTTTGGAAGACTAAGAAAGTCCTCCAAAGAAAGCCAAGGTTCTGAATGTAAATTCTGAACACTCAAGAAAAACTTGGAATGAAAGGAAATATCAGTCATCACCTGGGTAGTGATAAAGAATAATTGAAGTAAGAATGTGTCTCTGGTGTAAGGAAAGAAAGAGGGGCAGGTAAGGCAGGAAGGAAAAGAGACTGATGATAAAATGGTTACAACTCTGAATTTATTCCCAGCATCTGGACACTGGAGCTGAAAACTAATACCTGTGTTACAATTTTTCCAATGTCTCTGGGTCTGTCTCCTCATCTGTAAAATTACAGGGTTTGCCTTGGATGCTTTAAAGTAATATTGGGGTTTAAAATCTGGTTTTAGTTTGATTGATTTTTCTGAATGATGTGGTAAAATTTTTACATAAAATGTATAAAGATTCATTATTGGTGTTTGGTTACAGGCTGGCATTTATGAGAATATTATTTTCCTAATGGTGCTGCAAATGTTTCTATTACCCAGATGCAGGCATCTGGGGAATCAATAAAGTTCTGGTGTTCTCCTGAAATTAATATCTCATTTGAGTCTCTTAACAAGATGGTACAAGTGGAGAGGAAAATAATCCCTTTTTATGAAGATTTTGTAAATGAACCAAGAAAAGGCACTGCTACACTGTTCTGCAAATTTTAGGGCTCATAAGAATCACCTGGAAATCCAGGAAAATGCAGATTCCTAGGATCAACCTCTAGATATTTCAATTTAGGATGTCTGATTGGAGGCCCAGTAAGCTGTAATTTATAAGGCTCACCACTCCTGCTGGTGACTCTAAGGTTGGTATTCTGACAATCAACAACCATGCAGCAAGCATGGTTGCAAGGGTCCATGAGGACGTGCTGGAGGCTTCACATCAAGGTGGGGAGAACAGAGTTGGTGAGAATCAGGAAATGGACTACCCAGGCTTGAAAATCAACGTTAAGCAAAATAAAATATTTGGTTTTCCTAACTTTTCTACCACTAAGTTGAAGTTTACAGAAGTTTGAAAGTAGTTCTTCACTCTTTTTCACTAATGCGGTTACCCAGAAACTCTGGAACATCCGAGGACTGATCACCTCTGTACACCAGCATCAACTGACCCAGCTCTCAATTACACAAGAGAAATGTGAAAGAATGAAATATTCTTTAATTGAGGAAAACAAGATAAATGAGAATGCATTCTGTGATAAGTATTTTCAAGGA